TATTATCTGTGCCCTTACTTCAGAATAATATTAAGGTTACGGACATTTCTAGAATGGCCACCATATGTGCTCATAGGGTTCTCACTATTAGGATTTGAAACACTTGATACCCTCGTCACGATTCTACCATTCTAATGACATATATCAATACATATAATGATGATTTACGCGATATAGTATAAAACACCTTTTATTGATCAATGAACATTATTACAAAGAGTCAATTCTACAATAATTGATTGGCTCTAGGGCATCTATTCTAACACAAACATCTCATCAATTGGATTTTTATTGAGCAATTTATAATCAATTTACTACTGATTGTTCAGTGGAAACTAAAAGATGTGTGATGATAAAATGAATGGTTTGGCAATGGGGCTACAATTTTCCAAATTAAGTGTGTAATATATTAAATTAAAGCTCTATCTATCTAGTTTTTAAAGATTCAAACCTCTCATCAATTGGATTTTTATTGAGAAATTAATGGTCAATTTACTACTGATTGTTTAGTGGAAACCGAAATGTGTGTGATAATAAAAGGAATGGTTTGACAGCAGGACTACAGTTATCCAAATTAAGCATGTAATATATCAAATTAAATCTATGTCTGTCTAGTTTCTAAAGATTCAAACCTCTCATCAATTGGAGTTTTATTGAGCAAGTTATGGTCAATTTACTAATGATTGTTCGGTAGAAGTCGAAATGTGTGTAATGATAAAATGAATGGTTTACTAAAGCTACATGGTTTGGCATCAAACATCAGTTAATATTTGTTAAATAAATGAAATTATTTATATTCAACAACAACATCTTTTCATGATATATATATGTAGCATAAAAAGATATCAACAAAAAAAGATAGAACAATTACAATTAAAACTACATATCAATATTTGTTTTCCTTTAAGGAAAATAATAATGGTTCGGCATATTACAAATGATTTACTAAAGCTACATGGTTCAGCAACAAACATCAGATGATAATTATGACACAAATAAAATTAGTTATATTCAGTAACAACCTGTTTTCGATATATGTATGTAACATAAAAAAATATCAACAAAAAGAGATAGAACAAATACAATTAAAACTACATATCAATATTTGTTTTCTTTTGTCATCACTAAAATTGAATTGGTTTTATGTATGTGATGATAACATGAATGGTTCAGCAGCAAGTCTATAGTTATCTGAATTCATTGTATAATATATTAAATTAAAGCTTTATCTTTCTAGTTTCCAATGATTCAAACTGCTCATCAATTGAATTTTTATTGAGTAAGTTATAGCCAATTTAATACTAACTATTCTATGGAAATCAAGAAATAAAGAAAACTGAAATGTGTGTGATGATAAAAGAAATTGTTTGAAAGTAAGGCTACATTTATCTAAATTAAGCGTATAATATATCAAATTAAAGCCCTATTTGTCTAGTTTTTAAAGATTCAAACTTCTCATCAATGGGAGTTTTATTGAGCAAGTTATGGTCAATTTACTATTGACTATTCAGTGAAAACTGAAATGTATGATGATAAAATGAATGGTTTGAAAGTGGGGCTACAATTATCCAAATTAAGCGTATAATACACCAAATTAAACCCTATATGTCTAGTTTCTAAAGATTTAAACCTCTCATAAATTGAAGTTTTATTGAGCAAGTTATGGTCAATTTACTACTGCTTAGTAAGTGGAAATTGAAATGTGTGTGATAATAAAATGAATGGTTCGGCAGTGGGGCTACAGTTATCCAAATTAAGCATATAATATATCAAATTAAATCCTTGTCTATTTAGTTTTCAAAAATTCAAACCGCTTATGGCTAATTTACTACTGACTGTTTAGTGGAAATCGAGAAACAGAGGAAACTGAAATGTGTGTGATAATAAAAAGAATGATTTGAAAGTGGGGCTACCTTTATCAAAATTAAGCATACAATATATTAATTTAAAGCCCTATCTATCTAGTTTCTAAAGATTCAAACCTCTCATCAATTAGATTTTTATTGAGCAAGTTATGATCAATTTACTACTGACTATTCAAAGGAAGCTGAAATGTGTGTGATGATAAAAGGAATGGTTCAAAAGTGAGGCTACAATTTTCTAAATTAAGCGTATAATAAATAAAATTAAAATCCTATTTGTCTAGTTTCTAAAGATTCAATCCTCTCATCAATTGGATTTTTATTGAGCAAGTTATGGTCAATTTACTACTGATTGTTCATGGAAAGTTGAAATTTGTGTGATGATAAAAAGAATGGTCCGGAAGTGGAGCTAAAATTATCCAAATTAAGCGTATAATATATCAAATTAAAACCCTGTCTATCTAGTTTCTAAAGATTCAATTATCTCACCAATTAAGTTTTTATTGAGCAAGTTATGATCAATTTACTACTGATTATTCAGTGGAAACCGAAATGCATGTAATGATAAAATGAATGGTTTAATTAACCCAAATTTAAAGGATTATCATATTAGGACAGATAAGACATATTTCAAATAACATATATTAATTGGAAAATGGAATCAGCCAAAATTAATTCATTTAACATATATACTCGCACATCAACAGAACATAAACAATTATTCATATAACAAATTAAAATACACGAATGTTTTTACAGAAAACATATTCAACACAAACGAATTGTTTCTACTAATATAGATATGACACTACTCACAGTTTGGTTGACAATAGGATCATCCTCGTTTTGATCTTAGTAAAGTACATGAACATTTTCTTGAAAACAAACATGACAAAATTTAATCGATCTTCATGTTAAGATTGTTAAGGGACAATTATTCATTCACATAACAACTGTTACTTGAAAACAATATCAAGAAAAATTAATTAATCTTCATATTAAAATTGTTAAGGAATACACTTACCGTTCGACAGGACTAACACAATTAATCATTCAAATAGATTGACCCAATAAAAACAATCATTCAATCAAATAATAACCGTTGAAATAGTTAGGAGATATACTTACAGTTTCATTTTAAAATAGTTAGAAGATATCCTTACAGTTCAGAAGAACGAATCAAAATAACAACTCATTTGACAATGTCAATCGGACATCCTGTCTTTATTCCATGCTAATTTATGAATCTTTGACCTGTAAACAACAACAAAAATATAAATAAATAAAAAATATCGATTAACAAAATAATGAAGAACAGACATATTATTGACACAAACTAACATGACCTATAAACAATTAACAAAAGAACAGACGTATTGTTGACACTAATTAACATATTACGATAATATACAACTGAACATACGCCCCTTTTATAACCCTTTATTTATACTTTTCGAATACCAACACAATTAAATACGAATTGAATACGAAGAAACGTTTGCAATGTCAATACAATGCACCTATATAATTATTAATAGCAATCCTAGACAGATGTCATTAAACCACAATTATTAATAGCAATCCAATGCACATGTATACTTGTTATTAATGCACATCCAACGCGTCAAAATGGTTACAACTTTGAAATTCCAATGCAGTGCACCTATATTATTATTATTATTATTAATTACTAATACAATCCAATAATTTTTATTAATTATTAATTGTAGATGGAGCAATAAATACAAACTCAACGTTCCAAGCTGAAAGCCATTTGATTAGGCTCATTAAATCACAAATCCTACTGTCAATCCAATGTGTCAAGACGGAATAATTCTACAACCCCAAAATAAGTTCCAAAATGTGCTACGTAATGTAATCAAGATGATATGAACCTTTGGAATACCAATGTAGTGCATTGATATCTCATTAAACCTAATCAAGAAACGTTTGCGTTATACGAACATTTGGAATTCAATGTAGTGCATTTATATCTCATTAAACCACACATCCAACGTGGCAAAGAGAGCAATTCAGACTCCAAAATAAAGCAATTTTTATAGCTCAAAAAAAAAAAAAAAAAAAGTGTCATACGTGTCACTCAAACATGTATGCTTTTACCTTTGGATTTGGAATACTATCAATTAATATCTGTCCACATCATCATCAATAAAATTCAACTACATGGCAACTACAAATCCTACGTGTCAAGATGGAACAATTCTATAGCCCCAAAAAAAGTTCAAAATGTGCTACGTGTTAAACAACCAAGGGGGTATTCAACTTTATATATATATATATGAACTTTTAATCTTAAATGTATGAAATTACAAGTCCAAATTGTCCAATGTAAAATAACTTGGAATTAAAACTCAATTTTGTCCTTAAAATACTTTTAAATTACTTCTTATCTTCGGTCCTTAAAATCTCTAGGGTAATTAAAAAAAAAAAAAAATACGATTATATTTGTGGCAACTAGGGGGGATCCTCGTAGGTATTACTCCCCATTTGGGGGAAAATTCCCCCCAAGGATTATTCCCCATTGGGGCTGGGTATGGGGATTCCTCGACACCCCCGACTTGGGGATGGGTGCTCCCCCAGGGGTCAGGGACGGGATGGGGGACCCATTTCTCGGTCTCGACCCGCTCCGCACCCATCTTTAAATGTTAGGGGATTAAAAGTAATAATCTAAATAATAAAATAATATTTTTAAAAAAGACCAATTTAATAAAAGGGTCTCCCATAATTCTTTTATACTTCCGAACCAAACATATTAATTATTTATACTCATAAATCTAATCAAACATATATTATAAAACATTCTCCTTAATCTTCAAGAAATCTATCTTCTCATTAATAAAATATTTTTAATAATACAATATTTTCTGGACCAAATTTTCTCTTAAAGTTTAGTACACAAAGATTTAAGATCATTTCTTTAAATTGTTCTCCACGGGCCTCCGGGTCTCGCAACGTCGGGCAATAAGGACGAGACTTCTGCTCAGTCGGCAGTGCAGTTCAGTCTTAACAGAATCCAATATTGGGCTTCATACCCTTAAAACATTGGGTAATTAAATTTGGGTCGATCCTAAATAACGGGCTCCCCAAACACCCGACCCGGGCCCATATTCTCTTCATCAATCTCATATCATAATCAAAACAAACAAAGTTCATGTTCTTTCCCGTGAAACCACAGATCAGAATCAAACTCTTCTTTCTCTCTCCAATGGATTTTCGCGTTCGCACCTTCTTCAATCTTGTCATTATCTCTTCTTTTCTCTTCTACCAATCTAAGGTTTGCTCTTTCCCTCTTTCTATTCTCCGTAAGTTTTTATCCAATGATTTAATTGTTTAATTTGGTTGATTTTGATCTTAGGCCGAAGCTACTGGTTCCGTTTTCTTCATCGATAATCCGCAGCATCAATATCTTCGCACTCCGTCTCAAAACGATGTCTTTCAGGTAATTCATATTCTATCCAATCACTTTACATCGAATTATGCTTTTTCTTTATTCGCCGTTAACACGATCAATTGAGATTTGTTTCCCTGGCTGTTTAGAAACTGTAGGGACGTAAGTAGTTGGAAATTCGATTTCTTAAATTGACACATTAAATTTTTAAATTTGATCATTTATTTAAAATGTTAAGTTCGAGAACATGCTTTTGATACAATTATATTCACAAAATCTGCACGTGATATTTCACTCGAGAATGTTTCTTATATCTGTTTTTATGATGCATTTGGTATTAAGAAATTGTTCCTCGGGTATTTTTTTATGTGGATTTACTAGTTAAATTTGTGGATTGATTATTAAATTAGTTTGTTTAGTATTTCTTGTGATGCTGGAATGAATATACTGTTTTTATGTGCTGTTATTGGAAATAAAGAAGTGTTGTTCTCACTTCAATTTTTCAATATGTTGATGTGTGTTGCTTTGTTCCAGTCTCATTCAATGTTGCTATCGGAAGTTGGTGCTGCTGTTTCAGTCTTGCTTGGTTTTGCACCTCCTGCTACACTTGCAGCAGATGGTTCATCTAAGGTTGTTAAAATTTTATGCCCTTCTCTCTTGTTTGTCTTCTGTGGTGGAGGCTTTAAGGAATTATTTTTTATTTTTTATTTTGCAGTTGAATGAGGTTCTCGTGCCTAATCCATTCAATAGACCACGTGCTGTTTTAATGTTGGAAGTTAGAGGAGTTGCTGGTAATGCATTGGCTTCTTGAGTGCATCTCACTTTTTTTTTCTTTTAACAAAGTTCTTAGTGGTGAAATGAGTTACTTCTTTATGCAGATCCTAAGCTCGTGGTTGACCTTGATAGTATGCGGTTATTTGATGCCTTTAACAGCAAGGTTATTCTTGGTTCAAATAAAGTTGACATTCAACTTCCAGGTACTTAACCTTTTAACATTTATTATGCATTTCTTGTGTTAAGCTTTGTCTCCAAAGAAAGTTGGTGAAGATTTGTTAATTTTATGCCTCTTTTTTGCAGATGAAGATGAAGTTTCTGTAGTTTTCTTGGATGAACAATTAGCAGATCACTCCAAAAAAGAAATTCATGAATTAGTTAGTCATGACTCGATCTTGATATCTATTGTGCTCATTGGTGTTAATCTTCTGTATCACTTATGTGACTTTTAAGTTTGTTTACTTACATAGGCATCTTGGTTGGGTGGGTCATATGTTGCTGATGCCTCGGAACCGCTGAATGGAGAGTTGACTATTCCTGTGGCCAATGGTGTCAATGTGAATCTTCATATGTCAAAGGTCTTTTTCAGGATGCATAATTTTGTGTTTTACTTTTAATGCACTGAATTGATTGTTAATATTTTATAATTTTGTGTTTGAGCTCTTATTTTCTTAGTTATAATGTTTATTGCTGGAGGAGTCACATTTCAGTTCTTTGCAGAAAGCAGAGAGGGATTTTGCTTTTAGTCTTCTGGCTTTATGCCGGAATATCAAAAGGGCAATGGGTGTGCATGAAGGTTTGGCACAGAGTAAGCAAGGACCTGCTGAATTAATGATGGGTTTTTTTGATGGAATTAAGGTGATAATACTTTCTCTTGGTATTTTGCTGTCTTAAACTCTGAAATGTATGTAATGTGGTGGATTGTGCTGCAGAAATTTATTGTATGGATTATAAATTGGAATGTTAAAAGAAGGTGTTTGCTATGATTTATACTTCTCACTGGCATAAAGAAGATGTCAATTTCTAACATGGATCGTGCATGCATGAGTGCATATTTTTTGTGTTGTATAAATAATACACTCCTATTGCAGTGACATGAATTTTACCTCTTTGATCTTTCTTCTTTGGCATCTGAGGTTCTCTTCCGAATGCCTCTTATTAATTGGGATAAGATATTGGACAAAGAAGCTGTCTGGTTTCCTCCTTTTGTCAGTGTTTAATTGTGACTGTGTCTAGATTCCTTGCTTAATGAAATAATTGTACAGTGTTGGTTATTTGTTGTTCTGCTTTCCAATTAGTTCTTTGATGTTACATTTATGAGTAATCTCCACGTTGTCATAACTTGAACTTATATCTCATTTAAGTGTCTTTCCTTGTTCATGTTTTCAGGATTATTGTTGTTTTATTGCATCTAACAGAAGGTTTAGAATTTGCCAAGTACTTGATGTTGATTTTATCAAACTTTCCAGATCAGATGATGTTTTTGTTTTCTGGCTGTATTTACATATTTTCAAAACAAGAAATGTGTTTTGAGATTCTTGAAAAGCATGTAACTATAAACAAGGCTTGCATTCAGTATTTTAAAAGTTTCTTCATTATAATTTTATTCTCTTGAATATTTTTACAGGCTTTGCAAGAGCAGTATGGACCTGAAGGTGTTGGCCAGCAAGGAATGAGACTATTGCTTGCAACACTCTCCAAGATATTTGATTCATTACAAACATCTTATGAAGGTAACATGGCTTGGTTTTTAGAAATTAGTTTGTAGTCTGGGAAGCATGACAGAACATATTTAACCCTAGCAATTAATCAGGATAGAGATGAATAGCCTATTGTTTCAGCATACTGGTTGTGTGATTAAAGCACAGGTAGGTCCAGTGTGTCAGAAGTTAACTCATTTGACCTCTGCAAAGATTAGAGTTAATATATGCCTGTCTTAACATAGCTATTAGAATGGCCTAGAGCCGGCGGTGGGCACGAAAAAAGCACGGTACGAAAAAAGCATTGCCCGGCACAAAAAAAGCACGGCACGAAAAAAAACACGGTACGACACGACATGAAAATATGCGGGCCGTGCCGTGAGTCTTAAAAAAAGCCTGTGGGCCGACACGGCACGGCACGAAAAAAATAAAATTAAAAATAGCCGTTACCCCTCTGTGCAAGGGGGTAATGGTTATTTTAAAATAGCTGTTACCCCCGGTGTAGGGGGGGTAACGACAATTTTAAACTTAAAATAGCTTTTACCTCCCTGTGCAAGGTGGGTAACGGCTATTTCTAGGGGTGTTCGGTTCCGGGTACCCTGCACTTTTTGAAATAACTGGAATCGATGGTTCCTTGAGATTTGGAACGTCGGTTCCGGTTCCTACGTACATAGAACCAGAACCTGTAACAACGGTTTCGGTTCCGGTTCTAGTTACCTTGTAAAATTACAAGGACCCCCCAAAAGTTTTTAAAATGGCAAAAAAACCCTTAAAAACTTATAAATACCCCCCCACCTGGCACTTGTTAACAAAAATAAAATTACAAATTATAAATTCAAAATTACAAACTCCATTACTTTGTAAAGGTAGATTCTCAAAAGTCAAACCAACTTACTTTAAATGTTATGAAATATAAATATAATTGTATTCACATTACTTTTTCTACAAAAGTTTTTATTAATCCCCATAATCTTTAATTTTATTTTATATTAGTCTTGGTTCCTGGTTCTTGGTTCCTGGTTCCGGTTCCGGTTCCGGTTTCTAACTATAGAAACCGGAACCAGAATCGCACAATAACGGTTCCAAAAATTTGGAACTGGAACCTACCCATTGACGATTGGTTTTGGGTAAGAACCGGAACCAAACCCAGGATACCCACCGGTTCCAGTTCCAGCTGGTTCTTTTGAACACCCCTAGCTATTTCATATATATATATATATAATTTTTTTATTTTTCCTATAAATACTCAATTTTTTCTCTAATTTTTTCACAATCAATTTCAATCTTCATTCTCCTTTCTCTCTCAACTCTCAAGCTCTCATAATCTCTCTCAAATTCTTAATTATTTTTTTTCGTTTCGAATTATTTTAATTTTTAGTCAAATTTCAAAATGGATCCAAATTCAAATGAATTTATCATTTGATTATTTTGATAATGAGTCATTACCACAACCCTAGAAAAAAAAAAAAAAAAAAAAAAAAAAAAAGAACAAATCATGGTTTGAGAGCATTTTACTCAACACAAACATTGTGGTGAAATGTGCGACTGCACCATTTGAGTACGGTGGCATTGGCATCTTGGAGCCATAAGAGAACATTGCAAAAAATGCCACAACATTAAAATGGTAACAACAAATTTCATTTACAAGCATCTGTTGATTGATATTGATTCAACTAGTAGTAAATCAAATGTGTAATGAGCGAGATTTCTAGCTTCACATATGGTCAACAAAACATGAGAGACTATATGGCTAGGTACGGTGTTGCAACGATCAACCTTTTTCATGGTGATGATCCAATTTTAAATGGTATAGCAAAATAGTGTACAACTTTTTAGAGAATTCCTATAAATACTTTAAGAGCTGATATTTTTAATTTACAATGAAATGAAAACAAATATTAAAATACACTTATATTATTAATGGATTATTTCGTTTACTTCTATTTATGGAGGCCACTAATCAAGATTTAGGATATATTTGTGAACAAGTCATTTTATTAATTCAAATTGGCAACTAGAAAAAAAAAACTTGCATTTCGTGTATTATATTTTTTAAAATAGAACTAATATCTACTATATGATATAGATTAAACATTGTACATAATAACAGTTGTAGGATAATCTATTATATTATATCTTTGGTTTCATACATTTCATGTATTTATTATCCTACAACTTGTTTGTCTTATATCATATATAGATATTAGTTCTATTTTTAAAGAATAAAATCCCAAATGCAGAATTTTTTTTTCTAGTTGCCAATCTGAATTAATAAAATGACCGTTGCACAAATATATCTTAAATCTTGATTAGTGGCCGTCCATAATCAGAAGTAAACGAAATAACTCCATTAATTTACTAAGTGTATTTTAAATATTTGTTTTCATTTCATTGTAAATTTAAAAATATCAGCTCTTAAATATTTCTAGGAACTCTCCTAAAAGCAGGTGTGCAACTATTTTGCATATACCATTCTAAAATTAATCATCATCAATGAAAAAGGTTGATCGGTTGCGAACAATGTACCTGCATATAGTCCTTATTTTTGTTGACTATATGTGAAGCTAGAAATCTCGCCCATTACACTGTTTGATTGAAACTAGTTAATCATAAACCGATGTACACAGATGCCCTTGTAAATGAAATTTATTGTTGCCCTTTAATTTTGGCATTTTTTGCAATGTTCCTTTTAATCCCGAAGATGCTAGTGCACCCGTACTCAAACCGCCCAAATTAGAACCACAATATTTGCACACTGCACGTCGCACGATTCACCCGAACTATTCTTGTGTTTGAGTAAAATGTCCAAACCATTGATTTTTGCTTTCTTTTCTTTTCTGGGGGTGGCTGTGATAGATTTGTGGTGGTGACTCATTATCAAAATAATCAAAGGATTAAATTCATTTGAATTTGATCCATTTAATTTGATTAAAAATTAAAATAAATTCGATGAAAAAATAATTGAGAATTTGAGAGAGATTATGAGAGCTTGAGGTTGGAGAGAGGAAAGAGATTGGAATTGAGTGTGAAAAATTGAGAAATAATTGGAATTTTTAGCAAAAATAAAAAATAAAATGAACCGTTACCCCTTGTACAAGGGGGTAACGATCACAGGAGGGTAACGACTATTTTAAAAATGCTATTAATTTTATTTGTGTGCATGCTGTGTCCGCTAGAGCTTTTTTTAAGGCTCACGGCACGCCGCATATTTTCGTGCCTGTCGTGTCATGCTTTTTTTCTGTGTGCTTTTTTCGTGCCAACCTGCCGTCCCCCCGCCGGCTCTAGGTCCATCTTATTTTGGGCTGCATCTTTATACTCTCCGTGCCATGGTCTGTGGAAAACAAACCTAGTTTGCTTGATATGTGTTTGCAAATTTTAGTCACTGTTTCCCTGTTTTTGGTGTGATATGCTTGTCAACTTGAGATTTCTTGATAAAATTTTGCAGATTGTGCATTCAACCTTGACACTCAATGCATGCTAGTACTGCACTTTCAAGTAACATTGTTTTTTGAAAAATTGTAGCTAACAATTGGTTTTTTTAAATTAATTTTATTCTGTGCTTAATTGGTTAATCTAAGTTTCCTGTGATGTAAATGCCTGTTGTGACTTGGGATTTATTATTGGCAGGTCAAATTGTGGAGTTATTCTTTAATGTGCTCACCTCAGAATCAGAAACCGTGTTGAATTTGTGTTCACTTCCAGCCATCTTCACGTTGGTTGGCCGAACAGAAAGCAATTCAATGCAACCATGGCTGCTGAGGTGGTGTTGGTTAGACGGACCCTTGCTTGGTTAACGGAATCATTTCTCTCATTGCGACCCTTTTAGGGGTAAGATATACAGTTTTAACAAAGGTTGACTCCTGTTTATACCTAAAACTATATTGGATGTTAGTGTTTGGTAGAAACAGTGATCCAAATTATCTACCTCACATTTTGTTCTGATTCTGTCATATGCCTATACAGTTCTAGTACATGAGCATAACATGTGTTGTGTGGGATGCACAGTTATTTATTTGTCGACTTCTATAATAAGAAATAAGATGCAAGTTGTATGTGAAAACATTCTTTCATTTTAACTTCTTAACATCAGCGATTTTTTAAAGTCTTTCATATTTCATCCCAGCTTTAGCAACATACCATCTATAATTCTGATTTGCTCTTCAGTGATTGTGTTTTTTATGAGATTAGGTATAGGTAGACTTGGAAATGTCTTTCTAAATGTACTATGAGGATGATTCAGATATTACATGATAGTGATATCAATAGCATTTTTAACAATATGGAAGTAAAATCCAATTTAGAATTTCCTTGAACTCTGATAAAAGGTGTTGTAACTTGCAAATGTTTAAAATTTTAGTTTATTTAAAGCCTAGTCCTATTGTGTGAAGCATAACTCTATCTCAGAGTCCATGAAGTCCATAGTTGCATTTGCCTGCGTACTCTCACTGATAAATAAAATACATGTCATGTCATTCCTATTGTTTAGGATCATAAATATCATAGCATACCTTTTTTTCTTTAAAAGTAAGTCTTAATTCTTGTTGCTTTGTTAGACCTATTGAAGTGGATGATTTCTTAAATGATAAAGATTAGTAAGAGAATTTAACTGGATGACTGCAGAGTTTGTCTTGGCTTTTGTAATTAAATATGCAACTTTAAATCTAAATAATTTTAATTACGGGCAGACTATTTGCTAATCTCACATGGTTGCAATTGAGGACATAGATCATGTAAGATATAGACTCATTATAACATTGTAAGAGTAAAAGATCTGTAAGGGAATCTATGGGATATCTTTAAGCAGGGACATATTGAACCATGGACAATTTTTTTTTTTTTTTTAGTTGACTTGTCTGTTTCTGTCAATTTAGTAGTTCTTGCTAGTTTGGTCATTGTCTATTATGGTTGCTTCCGCTGATGAGCGTCTGAGATATTCAGGAATTTTACATTTTTTAATCAATAAGAGTTCCTTAAGTTGATTTCTGCATTAAGTATCGAGATCTTTGTCATTTTAAATCCCTTATGTTGTTTTT